TATCCCGAGGTACCACTGTATTAGTCCCTGCCAAATTGCAGGAAGATCTGTTAGAGAAATGGGAAAAAATTCAGTAAATCCCACAAAGAGGAATAGAAAGACCAGGACACGTTTAGGCTTGAGAAAAGATGGAGGTACAATGGCTCTCTTTAGATACCTTGAAGGGTTACATATAGAAGGTTGAGATGTTTTCTCTCCATAGATTGATTTAAATGCAGGAGTTAAGGTACTTTCTCACTGCTAGGAAAAAAAACTGCAACAGTGAAAGTAGCAACGATGGAGCCAAATATCCAGAATGCTGGTGGGGTGCCCTTTATCAGAGGTATACCTTCATTCCTTTTGGGGTGAGGTCTAACGGTAACCATTCTGTCCTGGAAACCACAAGGTATTTACTGTGAACATTATAGGCTTTTAATACATCTGTTTGAAGCTTGTGGTTTTTGAAATGAGTCATAGCTAATATGATTTCTATCATCAGAAAACAGAAAAACCATTAGAATAACCAGTTTTATTCAACATAACACTATTAGAAGAATGTATTCCAAATTCTTGAATCAGAGTTCCACAGAGAGTAACTTAAAAAACATATAACCCCATCAAAACTTTAATGGACCAAGTCTGGAGCCAAAGAAAGAGGAAGAGTTAAGTTTAATATAGGCACACACACAAATCATTACACTTTATTTGCCCAAATGTTAAAAGATATTCTGCTTTTTCAAACAGGAGACATTAATTTGAAACGGCTTCAGAAGAAATACAAAACTAATGAAATTACTGCTTATTTTTCTAAAGCTCCAGCCACTTATGATCTTGCCAGAGAAAGGTATATTCATAAGAACAATCACTTACATCATATTCAATCTAGGCAGAAAAAGGTTTATAAAGATTGCATGGAGAGGCTGATCCAAAAAAAGATGCCAACAAAATCAACGCCAACAGTCCACTGTGTATTTCTGTGATTTGCAGGACTTTTAATATTCAATGCTGAAAGGATATTCCTTGTGATTAATACACCTACAGAAAGAAAAAAATCAGACATTTTAATTAAATGGTACTTAAGTCTGTCTTAGGAGGGTGGGCCAAAGCAAGAACTGTATCTTAGTGCCCTAAGCTTGCTATTCCAAAAGTTCTTGGTAACATCTAGCAGGAGCTTGCACAAATTGTGATTCTCAAGCAAATGTAGCCTCTAGCACACACAAGAGTCTCTTCACTTGTTTTTTGGGGGGGAGGGGGAATCATCTTCAAACCGCAAAGGCAGATCCTCTGTTGTGGAAGCCTGGCTGGATTATCATCAAGCACAGTAAATCTGCATTTTAATTTAAAGCAAATAAGGACCTCAGAATGTACCACTCACGGACACCTTCAAGCCATAGAGTTCATTGGCAAGGATTCAGTATGGCTGTTGAATGCTGAATGCTCACAACTCAGGGTACAGTGAGCCTACAACTGCTTCTGACTCTTTCCCAACCTGCTGTCCTTCACATATAGTGGACCATAAGCCATGCTGGCTGGAAATTCAGGGAGTTAGTCCAGCATACTGAAGAACACAAGGTTGTCAAAATGACCTTTTATTACCAGATACTGTACATATATAAACTTGAGCAAAAAAGCAATTGAGTAAATACTTTCATCCCTGTCTGCTGGTTTGTTGAATAAATAAGACATCAGTTGGTTCATGCAACTTACTAAGCCAAAAGCAGTAGCTTATAGACCACAAGAGCTGGGTTTGCACAACACATTAAACCAAATCCAAAGGAATGACATGATGGCTTTGTGGGACATGTGACTCCAACTAGGAAGTGTTGTTTCTGATAAAACGGATTAGGTTGAACAGCATGTTGTTTATATTGAGAGAAGTCTTTGTTTATTATAATGCTAATCACTTACCACATACCACTTTACGGTTTGATCCATGGTTAACATGGAGCTCTCACATAATTAAAAATATCATGTTGTGGAACTGTATTAATTTAGATCAAATAACATTTCAAAAATGGACATAAAAGTAACAAGTAAAACTAATTCCAAAGAGAACAGTCCATTTATTTTGTTCTGAGATAATTTACGTGAAGCATATATACTTATACAGAAAAAAATCATACAAAAAGCTGAGATGAGTTGCTTTAAATAAATACTAAATAAATAAGTACTAAATAAATCTCAGAAGGTTCTGCTGCACAGCAAAATCATCCAAGGGCTTTCTCAGGCTGTCACCCAAGAAAGCACTGCAATGCTAATTCGTACTGAATTGGACAACAATCCACATTTCCTCCAAACCATACTTACATGGTCATTGCACATGCCCTCCAGTTCCTGTTGAAGCTGAGGATAGTTTCCATGTCCTGCTTAGACAACTCGAAGTCAAATACCTAGCAGACAGGAAAAAATAAGGAATTCTAAGGAGAACTCCCAAAACATGTTTGACGTGACATGCTCCAGGAACCTTTAGGAATTGGGTGCCATATACCATATATCTTGAACCATATACCATAGGTATCATATCATATACCTATATACATATATGTTCTTATACGTATATATACACTTATACCCTATGTACAGATCATATACCATAGATCTTGCTCTTAGGATTCCCAGTTAGTACAAAGAATTATTGTCCAAGATTTCTGAAGGGCTAAGGAAGTACAGTACTGTTTTTCATTACTTTAGAAGAGAGAGATTTTCCTCCGTTGCTAAGTACTCTGTTTAATCCACGCTGCGCCTGATTCTGCTGCCTACAGAAACATTTCAGCAGCGTAGAAGGTTTGTATTGATCTACGTCTGCCATCCTCTGCTTGAATCAGTTAAATTAAAAACTAACAAAACCCTCTTCCCAATTTGCCCTAATAAAAGCAAGCAGGCCAACAAAAATAAGGGCAGCATTAAACACAACCCACTCCCAGCTTGCAAATTAGTTTATAACCATTTGGCAACTCCGGTGGAAATTCACAGCAGATTCCACTGATGTTATTTGACCTGAGTAACCAGAATGTTGTTTTTTTTTTATACCAACCTCAAAGCCACAGCAAAATTAGAGTAATTATATGCTTGCCAGTTACTGCTCGACTTGGTGTTCCTTCCTCCCAAAGGCTGTAACTTTAGACCAGATAAACCACAGAAAATACTCCTATCATTTCACACTATTTAGCCTTACTCTCTGGCAATCTCCTTTCCATCTCTGTGTTCATGTGTAACTGCTATCAGCCAGGGTAAACAATTCATTAAATGGATTCTTTCTTGTGGGAACTGTAGTGCCAAAAATTGATGGTATTCTAGGGGCTACAAAAATGGGGCTGGGATGGCCTAAGTGGTCCACAACCTGGCTGGCCACCTTTGGCTCACATGAGATGGCCTAGACAACTGATAGGTGAGCCAACCTGTGCAAAAGAAAGGTAAAGGAGAAACTAGTGTAATTAATCTCTGCATTAGCCTGCCTCCATCAAGCCCTACAATGCCAATAGTTGAGTGCACATGCAGTTGTGCTGGTTTTTGCTGATCTCTGCATACCTCCATGCAGATAACCCTTTGTCTAACAGCCTACCTTACCTTTCACGAGAAATGCAATTGCTGCCAGGTATACGAAGAGGCCCAATGCAATTATAAGAAGCTATAGCTGGGTTGGGAAACATGTGCCTTCTAGACATGTCTTCTGTAACTCCAATCAGCCCCAGCCAACATAGCCAATGATCAAGAAAATAGGAACTGTAGCAAAACAACACTAGGAGGGCTCAAGAGTGCTATAATTCATTCAAAGCCAACTTTCAGTGATATCCATCATCTCACAATTGGGGCAAGCTGTTTCAGTCTTGGGAACAAAAGGACAGAGTCTTCAAACTGAGTCTTATTAGTATTTCCTCACTCTTGGTCAACTCATGTAGACAAACTAACTTCAGAAGCAGAAAGCAGAGAGTAACTGCATTCCTGAGTGATCGCCAATTACTGTGGATCTTTTTATTTTGTATTTATTATTGTAATATTGTAATTTTAATTGATTTTAATTGTTTTGTAAATCACCCAGTCGTTTAACGAGATGGGCAGTGACACATCTACCATCTACCAACCCACACTGGACTAGTACAGTAGATTACAGTCCATAACCTCCAATGAAGAGCCTTTCATCCTACACTGGACTGATTTGGGCTGCTGCTAATAATAATAGTAATAATAATATGCCATGTAGGAACCAACCAATCCAAAAGGGGATGTTATTTTTACCTTGAAGTTTTCTTCAATCCGTGCTGGAGTGATGGACTTGGGAATCACAACTACATTTCTTTGGATATGAAACCGGATCAGGACCTGATAGCCAAGACCAGACCAAACAAAATAAGGATTATTGATCAGAAAAATCATATGCCACTCCCCCACAAATCATGTATGCACATTAACATGCTGACATAGAAGCTCTTCCAGGATGCCTCCCTCCCAGCAAAATCAATGGTTCTTTTCTGCACTATTTGGCATCTTGAGCAGTACAGTCTACACAGGGGTTATCTGTTGCTCCCAAGCATCTGGATCCTGCAATAGGAGCAGAATAATATCCACTATGCTTGTGTAGGGGGGAGGAGAGTTTCCAGCATTTTGGAGCCTACTTGATTGCTGCAGCTTTCCATTACTGCTCAACCTCACTTAATTTCATGCCTTGCCTTGAAGCCGTATCAAACTTTGTGAAATGTTGACTCTCAACAGTGCTTTCTGTCTTGTCCACTGAATACCAGCCAACATTAAGAACCTTTGCTAATCATGAATGTGGACTGAGATAACTTTGCTTAATGACCGATTGTGTAAGCATCTGAACCTGGACATATTATGACTTTGCTAAAGCCTTGCAAAGCAGGATAGTCACCAGTTTTCTCATGGAGGCACTTACAAATTTAAGTTATTCCTCCCCCGTCAATGTCCAGACTATTACATGATAGTGCCCAGGTCTCAAAAAAGCTACCAACCAATTATCTGAAATGTATGTCCCATCATTATTTCCTTACTTAACTGATTGAGAGTGAACAGAAGATAGCCTGGACTCCATTAGAGGTTTTTGGAGCAACTGCAATAGATCTGCAACAATTTCAGACTCTCATGTATGAACTACATTGCAATGGTTACTATGAGGTACAAAAACAATGCTATCAAACTCCATCCTTGTGATGAAAAAAGGACATACAATATAACAAACAATAAACACAATAAAATCTGCTTGATCCATTCCAAGGTCCAAAATACACTGCATAATTCTTTAGAAATACTTCCAACGAACTCAGTGGTTTAACACAGTGCTTCTCAACCTCAGCAATTTTAAGAAGTGTGGAGTTCAACTCCCAGAGTTCCCCAGCCAACATTCTGGGAGTTGAAGTCCACCCATCTTAAAGTGGCTGAGGATGAGAAACAGTGGTTTAACATACTGAAAGTTGCTACGTACAAGGATTGTGTGCAGCTGCACAAAGATTCTGCATATTCTGACTTACTAAGAGAGAACTTTGATCACCTAATGAAGCCATTGTGATATATAATAGACATATTCTTTCCCTTCACTTGACTTAATCTTTTTAACTCGCCATGCTGGGGCCTAAATTAGGGATTCTCTGCATTCAAAATAGATTGCCTATCACAATGTCATGACAGACAAACCTCCTATGAACCCCCCCACACCCCAAAAAATACACTGAAATTGAATGACATCCTCTTTCACTTCTCTGAAGACAAAGCAGTCTTTTTCATGCAGATCTTCTGAACAAGACCTGGATCTCCTTTGGATAAGCTGTATCTGATAACCTGAGATACAAAGATTCTTTCCCCCTGCTAGTTTAATTATTCATTTTACTATTAAAAATATTTTAATAATTATGTTTACTTTGATGTATTCTACATGCATGCAGATAGCCAGTTTTGCAAGTCATCAAGAACCTATTTTGACAGTATACATATATATTACAGCTGTGCATATTTCAAAAATGATTACAAAAAAGTGCTCTTCTGTTAAGATACAGTTAACATTGAGTTGACAGAGCAGAAAGGCTTCTGAGTTATCATCAAAGCACAAAAAATATCCTTTTCCTCATTCAATCAACTATTCAGGAAAGCAAGCTATTCCTGCTGTGATAAGTAGATTTTAAAGATTTATTTCTCAAAACAGCACCTGTCCCTCCAATAACCATCTGATTTCCTACTTAACTGCATACACACACCTGAGCTGCTGTTTTATTGTGCTTAGCTGCAATCTCTTTAATTTTTGGATCATCCAGGAGTGATGGATCTTCAGGCTTGGCCCTAGCATAAAAAGAAACCAAGGGTAGCAGATAATTAATAACACTAAGAAAATTGGCATTTAAGAGGAATAAAAGTATTACAATCAAATTGCAAGGCTGGCTAGCTAGAATGGAAAATGCAACATCAGTCCAGTCTCTTTAACACTTCCCCAAATCAGCTTTTCTCCCTAATGTATGATTTCATCCTTTATGAATTGTAAAAAGAAGAGAACTAGTTCAGTTCAGCGATTTGGCAATGAGATGATAAGCCCATAGCTTAACTTCACATTAGCCCTGAACCCATCTGGTGATCTCTGGAGAGCTTTCTCACAAATATTATTTAGCTGAATCATGGCTATTCAGTTAAATTATAATTAATGAAGATCACTCAACATGCTAAACCAGAAACAATTTACAAAATACATTGGTTAAGTTCATATAACATGCTAAGTAAACTCTTACAGCCCCATGTGTGTTGTGTAAATCCAGTCTATGGCTAAGTTCACCCAACACACTAAATTATGGTTTGCTTAGTTATGGTTTGTTGTGCAAACCAACACTGACTAGGTTCACACAACATATACGCTCATGAAGTGGTTTTTATGGTTTAGGCTTCATGTGTTGTATGAATCCAGCTTCCTAATCTTTTTTCTCTGCATCAGATCTGTCGCCTGCACTACCTTACATGTTTTTAATTTAACTACTACTGTTTCTGTTATTCACTGTATATTATGCTATGAATAGTCACTAACTACAAACTAAGAATGTTTGTAATATATACATATTCCTCTTACTAATCACAATTACAGTTTTTGTTGAGAAAGTAAAAAATTATTAAACTCAATAAATCTGTTTTATTTCCATCACATAAGTAGGTAGCTAGTTATAACTGACATAAATATGTCTCCTAATAGGATGGCTGGTGTGGGTCTTCCGGGCTGTGTGGCCATGTTCTTGAAGTTTTGTTTCCTAACG